CAGTTATGGCTGTGCTTCCAAGGGTCTCAACAAAATCTTAAGGCTTTTCAAGGGTTCATCAACCCCGGGTCTCAAAGCCCAATACCGGTGTCTAATTTCACAATGGTCTCGACAGTCTCAAGCCCATGTGGGACTTCATCAGAGGTTTTAATGGTCTGACTGTTTGAAGGTTTCGAGCCTCAGTCCACCTGCAGCTCCTATGTGCTCTACAATTCTTTGGTCTTAATATGGGCGAGGACCTTCCTCGAGGTCATGATTTTGTCTCAAGTCTTGATGGGGGACTGAAACTCAAGGCCCCAAGCCTCAAAAAGGGCATTTTCTCATTGAAGTAGACGCACCGTATGTCCTATGAGGTCACGGCCGAGCCCTGGACCCCTGCACAATTGTCTACTCCTCAGGGTCTTGACAGCCTTAAGTCGTGCTGTTGGACTCCAGCCTCGAAGTGGACATCTCCAGCTCAAAGTCAGTACGGTCTTGAGCCTTAATCAGGGATTGTGCCCATGAGGTTTTGGCAAGGTTTGATCCTGGACACAAACTCTTTCTCCCTGTAGTCTCAACAGCTCTTGTTAGGCGTGCAGTCAAAGTGCGCCAATTGGTTTTCACCCCCTTGAGGTCTTGACAGTGACTCAGCCCTCAGCAAGATGATACCCCTGAGATCCTCCATCCTCTAACTCCCCCAAAGCATAAGTCTTCAGGACTGCCAGATTCATTGCCAGTTCAATTTTCAATTAAGCTGCTGGTGTCTCAGGTCTTGCTGGCACATGCTGTGTGCTGATCATACTCACACCCAAGAGTGATGGTCTTGGCAATCCTTGGGGTGATATAGTGGAATCCCACAGGGATCTGTACTAGGACCACTATCATTCTGATTTATATCAATGATCTAGAGTCAAGTGTAGTTAGTAAACTAGTCAAGTTTGCCGACACAGACGAATACGAGGATTGGCAAACACTACTGAAAGGGCACATCAAATTAAAAAATAGAGATAAAATTCAATCGTGGCAGATAATGGTTAATACAGACATTAAGTGGAGGGGGCAAAACAAAGGAGCAATATCTAAGGGAAAATGCTGAGCTTGAAAAGGTTGTATATGATGACACATCATTCACATCTAGACAATATGGAGAAGCAATAAAAAGTCAAGGAAAATGTCAAGCATATATAGTTAAAAGATTAGAATTTAAATCAGTGTATCTTATGTTAAAAATTATGTTACATGCCTCCATCTTAGAAAGGGGACCTGCGATGTTGTACTTGCCGCCCAACCCTATTCCTGCACAAGGCCATGTGACATCACCCACCACACCCACCATCACCCGCCACGTTTTACTGTAAGACCTCCCTGGAGTCCCGGCATTGTCCCAGCTTCCCAGCATGTTTCATCTGGGGGCTGGTGCTCCCTCTCTCTGGCCATTCCATTGGCCCAGGGTGCATCAGCTCGTAGGGGGAAAAGATGGCAATGCCAAGTACAGTGACGTGCAACTGCGACTGCGACTGCTACTGCAACTGCCGAGGAGAGAAGTAAGAGTTACCCAAAGGAGGCCGTTTTGGGCTGCTTGCAATGCACAGATTACAAGAGAAAACCAACGCTGTGGCAAGCATGTGCAGAGCGCTTTGCGTGAACATAAGTCGCAAGGCCTGTACTTGACCGCAGATAACAAACCAGAGGACAAAAAGGAGTGAGAAAGCTGACTTGTTGTATTGTGGGACAGATATTTACTGACGTACAGAGGCTTTCTGCACCGCTGACATTCCACTACATAACTTAGACAACATTAGTACGAAAAGCTGTCTGAAAAAAAACAGCGCCATAGCTGCCAGGTCATGTCAGATCATCTCCAGAAAGTACTAACTATGAGTAAATGGTCATTTTACACTCTACAATTAATTAGTAGTCAAAATTAGATCTGTTGTTAAAACTGATATGTAAAGCATCCATATTGATGTAGCAAAAACTGTGTTATGTGAGTACATCTCCATGATTAGGGTGTTATTTTCCTGTGACCTGTCCGTGACATTTGCTAAAAATGCCTGTGTTAAAATCGTAGCCCTACCCCTGACCACAGCTCAGCCACACTTCTGCTCAGCCCATCCTCCGTGCCTAAGATACTGTCTACCTTCCAGAAGACGCTTTCACCCTCTGAGCTGTGCTCGCTGTTAGTCCATCTTCTGTGTCCAATAATGGCACTCTACATTTGTATGTGCCTTTTATAAGATCTGTGCACTTTTTTGTGCACTCTGAGGATGAGAACTGGGGTACCGCATTCTCCAAGAACCAGCAAGACATTGCATTGTGGAGGTCCACGCAGGCGGTCCTGAGGGCTCATTCTGCTGGGGCCACCTCCTCACGCTGGGCCATCTATAATGGGGCGTCAGTGGAGGACCTCTGACTAGCTGCAAGGCGGGAGCCACCTCCTACATTTGTCACTTTAGACATTTTGAACATTAAGAAGGTGGCGCGACCTTCTCTAGGGATGTAGAACTTTGCGGCAAGACTCTCAGAAGTCCCTTCATGACCCTCTGTCCCTGTAGCCTCTGGCTATGGTTCGCCTGCCTGTTTTGCCGCCGCTTGTGAACTCTTATTCCCAGGAGGAAGCAACTGCATTTCTCTTCAGAAGGAACGCAATCTTGCTATCATAATTCTCGTTCACCGAAAATAAACTGTTATCCTTCCAGGTCACTCTAGTGTCGACCTCAGACGGGCGCCAGCCTGACCAACAAATAATGATGAGCCACTATTATCAGCCCAGGTGACGATGGCAGTACTTTGTTTAAAGCAAACCTTGAGAGACTGGTAGTGACAAAGGCAGTGAGCTCCCTAAGAGTGTCTGAGGGTAATGTTAAGAATACCCAGGTCAGTCGGGACATAACCTCCATGATTTACAACTTGCTTAGAAGTACAAAGATGAGACAGAAGACTTGTTGGAACAATGTTTTAAGGATAGGTGAGACCATGTGATGGAAAAGTAAAAAATTGTCGGAACAAAAGGAACTGCAGTTGCGCTATAAGAAGACCACCATCTGTGACACATAGCCTGGCCTGGGTATGTGTGGCCACCTCTGGAGCTGATCACAGGTCTTTTTTGATGATGTCACTAATGATGGCTGAGGCAGAATGAATTCTGAAGTTTACGGAAATATTTTATCTGCTTACGTAAAAGAAAACGCTTCCCTACATATTGGGCGAGGCTTCAGCGTGCCATTTGTCAGTGACATAAAATACATTGCCAGTGCCACCAAGGAGGTCACCAGGAGAAAAAAAATGCAAAATCTAAGACTGGCCAAGTAAATCACCAGATAGTAATTCAATTCAGCATGCGCTTTACCTGCTTAAGGAAAATCGTTCGTTAAAACACCCTTAGAATAAGCAAGAACTCAAAGTGCCCACAGCAAAGCATCTAGAATGATTGCACAAAGAGTTTGGTAAATTCAATGGGTCACGGGCTTCATGCAGTTATTAAATCAAAGAGGTATACAACCAAATACTAACTTTTACACTCTGATCTTTATTTAAAGAGGGTGTGTCCCAATACCAATGGTAATTTGAAATCACTGGTTCGAACACAAAGTATGTTTTTGTTCTAAAATGATCAAATGCACGCAAGGGATTGTGCAAAAATAAATGTATACTATATTGCACTTTTCTTTCATATTAATCTCATGATCATAAGCACAAATTGCTCGACTGTAAAGCAAAAATAATAGTTTTGATTTTGCTGTCCCAATACATTCGAAGGGCACTTTAGAAACCCCTGCCTCCCCAACTCATTCATGATTTTAAAACCTTCAGGAATAATAGCAGTGGGCCTGGAGGGATTTGTTTCTGTTCTGTTATCATAATACTAA